CACACATGAACCGTGGGCGGGGGGGGGGGGGGGGGGGGGGGGGGGGCAGTGTGGACATGCGGACAGGCTTCTTCCTCATTCTGATGCCTGGGAGGTGGGTGGACCAATGGGCAAGCCAGACTTTCTAACTAACAGCCTAATGAACTGTCAGTGAAGAAGGCATCACATGCAAAGGGGTTGGAGAGTTAGTTTATATCCACTTTAACTTCCTGACCTGCAGATGCAACAGGAAGCTAAAGTAATTCTCTCCAAAGTGGTGGAAAATCCCCTCTTATCTGTCTCAGGAACAGGTGTCTCCTTTGAGAGATTTTCCCTTACCTCCTGTTCCAGTAATAACTGTAACATTTTGAATTTCCCATAACCTTCCTTCTCATCGACAATGGCGCCCAGGACACATAGAGAGGGTTGATCTCTCAAGTAGGGTTAAAGACAACAACAAAATATCATATCTAACAGGGGTTCTAACCCTTCCACACTCCATCCAAAATAAAAAAAAAAAGAAATGTTTGACTGGCGTTGGGTTGCTCCAATGCTTAAATAACGTTTTCACATTTATCTTCCCTCGCCCAGCTTCCAAGGAGGAACCTTCTCTGTTGTGCACAGAGCAGGTAGGTGGGGAAGAGACTCCAGAATATAACACAGTCATTGTGTCTGGACCAAGCGATGAACTGGAGACCCCTGACCCGACGGAGTTCATCATTAATCCCCCAGAGAACCCAGTACCTGATACGGGGCAATGCCATCTGAACTTACTGGCAGTTTGTGGGCCCTTGCCTGACCCACCAGGAGGATGTTACAGCACCTACACTTCAGAGCCCCCCCAGGGCCCGGGATTCTACGCTACGGGAGGACAGTTCCAGCCTGTAAACCTAAAAATGGTGGGTGCCTATCCACAAACCGCACCTTTGCCGCGACGATCTGCCCGCTGTTCCACCTCCTGCCACGTGCCAGCCTATATATACGACACGGGACCTGAAGAAGTAAGTCAAAAGTTGAAGAGCCAGGATGAAAATCTGGATGAGGTGGCAGCTCCTAGCCGGAAGAAGAGCCGAACCCTGTACAACATTGGTAAGCCCCTGCCCGTTCTAATGTTTTGATTCCCAGTAGTTCTAGGAGTAAAGCCAACCTATGCTCACATGCCTAGGTATTTGTGCCAATGATCTCTGCTAAAGTGGAGGATGAGGAAGTCTAATCTCTACATTTCTATGTCAGCTGAGATCACATGACTAAGTGCCTAGTCCTTCAAACATGTGAGCAGCATTTAAAGAAGTCCAAAGTAGCATTTCTCTGCAGAAGACATATATGATGTATGTGTGTGTGTGTGTGTGTATGTACGTATGTAAATAAATGCGCAGACACACATACATCCGGTTCTTCTTCTCTGCAGGGGGCAGGTCCATGACAACCAACATTCATAATAACCAGGGCTCACAGGAAGTGGGTTGAATGGCGCTTGCCATCATTCAACTTGGGAAAACTGGCCATATCCAGTGGCAAAGTTGAGAATTGTAGCATAGCTTTTGGCCTAGGTTAGGAGAAGGGATGAATGAAATTTGAGAGTTTTTTTCATTTATCTAAAATCTAATCCTAAATTGGGAGGCAAAATTTTGGTAAAATTTTCCAATCCTTTACCAAATGTTGGCAAATTTTACTCTTGTGAATGTGCAGGCAATGCACTCTTGAATCATTTATAACTATGCCCCCTTGTCTTTTGTTCCAGACCAGCTGCAAGAATTGGAGCGAATGTTTATGGACGATCATTATCCGGACAGCGAGAAGAGGAAAGAAATTGCGGAGATTATTGGGGTGACGCCACAAAGGATTATGGTATTTTATTTATTTTTCTATATGGTGGAATGGGTCACCAGCTACAGTTACGTAGTAGAGAGGATTGGGCTGCTCAAGGCCCATGGGGGTGGAGAAGACCTAAGTGGCCCATAGCGGCACATTTGGAATATGTCTTTAATAACTGACTATCATGGGAAAGAATACAGCAGAATAGACCTTGATGGTTCGCCAAATTTATGTTCCTGCAGAATAGTCATGTGACTACACAGCCCTAGCTCTAAAATTCCAGTAAGTGGGGATTTGGGAAAGAATGCTATAATAGCCGCCATTACACTTCACAGATTTGTTTAGCAGTCAGTCAGCGCTCTACCTCTTTCCAGGTTTGGTTCCAGAACCGACGAGCCAAATGGCGCAAAGTTGAGAAGACGTCTCTTAAAGGTGGAAAGAAAGTGAATTCTTCTATGGCTATGGTGCCCCGGTCTGAGAACGTAGGCTTCGGTTCCACCGCTTCAATGCAAGCAAAGCCAGAAACCATTTCATATGCAGTGCCTTCAGTCCACCATACATACGGATCATTACAGGGTGTGAGGAACGGGTGAGAAGCCTGGCTGTTCAACCAAATCCTCTTTATTCTTCTGTGCACCTTGTTTTTCATTTTATTATGGTCAGTAGAGAGTGCCCCCCAGTCTGCAGTCATTTAAATTACATGTCCCCAACACAAACCTGTACTTGCATGCTGCCTAAAATAACTTTAACCACTCACCACCTTTGACTGAAATTTGAGGCTGTTACAACCCCCCATATAAGCCATTTGTGACCAGAGTTTATTAGTGCCTAGAAGTCTTACCAAATTTACCAGAGTCATCGTGGGTTGAATAACTTAAAGGAGAACTATGGGGTCAGGGCTTTTCCCCAAAGTTCTCCTTAGGGTAATGGGGGGACACAAACTAGCGTCCTCCCGTCACCCTAGTCTCAGTATACCGCAAGCTACAGCTCGCGGTATACTGAGACGCCGCAGGCGGAGCGGATCCCGACATCGATGTCGAGATCTGCCCAGCTGTGTGAGTGACAGCTGGCTCTGCCTATCTAGAGGCAGAGCCATCTGTACCCGCCGCCTCCCCCGTCCGTTCCGCCAGTCAGCGCTGGCGGATCGGAGCGGGGAGAGGGGAATACAGCCCCTCCCCTATCACGGCAGAGAGCCGTGACAGGATCGAGAGGTGAGCGAACGCCGGTATGTGTTCGCTCACCTCCCGATCTACTGAGCCGACCTGTGACAGTCTCATTGTCACAGGTCGGCTAGAACTATGAGGTGAGTGAAAAGCACTCACCTCATAATTCTCCTTTAACAATATCTCTAGACAATGAGTAATTTGCATATCTAATTAATCTGATTTAAAAAAAAAATACATTTACTCCCTTATTAATACTGTAATTGCATCTGGCCACTGCAGTAGTAAACAGATAATAGCTTGCACCTTCATTCTGTGGGATCAATGCCTGTTTTACCAATAGCTTAAAGCCTCTGGCCCGATCATCAGTGCGGCCGGAGCTGTCGGGGACAGCTGGGATTGAAAGCCACCAGCCACGCAAAGTGTCAGCTGCTGGCTCTCAAAAGGGAGGATGATTAGTAATGTATTACCAGCATGGGGCATCATGATTTGGAACATTAACGTATAGACTGTGAGTGGGGAGGAGGTAAAAAAGCCCAACTGCAGCTCAATTTTTAAAATATTTTTGGATAGAGGGAAGCAGGATCGGAACCTTGGAAATGTTGACTTTTACTGCTGGCTCTTTATGTGGCTCCCCGGGCAGGAGAAGCCTAGAACAGCACACTGGACAGAAAGAGGGATACAAACTATAGCAGGGAGTTCTCAGGGGTTCCCCTGTGTTATAGGAACACAGCAGGTTAGCCCACCAGCCTCCACCTATAGCAGAAATACACTATATGATTAAAGGTTTTACCATTACACCTACTGTAGATGAGCTTGTTGGTCACTGCAGCCTGCACCCGATGTCTGTATTGATCTGCAGTCTGATGGCATTAGAGCGGTGAGTCTTTTGTGTAACTGGCAGGTCTAATTACATTCTTTGAGATAACATAGGAAGTGTGCAGGGGACACAGGAGGATTCTGAATTTTCGCTGACTCGCCGCTGCTCTCCCGCACCGAAGGTAAGTGAAAAAATAAATAAAAACATAGCGCAAACATCGGGGCATTTTGACAAGTACAAGTATTTGTCAAAATGCACCTTGCCTGTGTAGGCAAGTATCCTAGCACCGGCCCTGTTTCAGGCAAGGTCAAGGTGCTTACAACAAAACTCTCTCTTTCGATGGTATATCTGATATACCAAAATGGAGCAAAGTAGAGAAGTTCATTGTTCGGGTTTCCATAGACTTTAACAGTATCCATCACTGGAAACAGCTCAGTCATTTGGAGGGGTGTCCACATTATTTTGACCATTTAGTAGGTGTGGTGGTGAGGTGTCCACCAACTTTATTTTTGCCATAGTGTATCTGTTTTGGGAATTAACTTTGAAGGCTCCTCAAAGGCTTTTCCTGCCCTTCCTAAGTACCTGAAATGCCATTTATGGATCACCTTCAATTTTTATATTGTCTGCAATCCTTCTTCAGTGCGTATTAACTGTACTTTCTCACTCCCTCCATCTTCTGCCACTTGTAGGATGCCTATTGTCCACGGAAGTCTTCTTCACAGATCTCACTCTATGGATGTGTCTCAACACAGCACCTCCTGCGGTTCCAACAGCAGAAGTTCAGGTCAGTGTTGGGATGACCAGGAAGCTCCACCGTTGAAATTCTCTATATGGCATGGTGTGTTGGTGGTTAGCAATGTTGCCTTGCAGCAGAGGAAGTACGGCTACAGTTCCGTCCAAGGCTCTATGAATTTTGGTTTTCGAATTACAATGTTTGTTCTAGATGCATGGAGCCTTGATGCCCAACCTGTAGCCTGAGGGTCAAGAGTGGCCCTTTTGGTACTTACTGCTTATCCCTTGGCCCCCATCTCATTGCGAAGATGCTCACCCAGGGACAGTAGAAGCAAATAGTCATTAAACTGGATTGTACTGTCTAATTTATTTTTATCTCTTTTACACCACCTTCGTTTTTTTTATTGGACGTATTATAATGGGTCTTACTGAGAAGAAGATCAAATACTGCTCCAGTAATTTTTTTAAGGGGCTGTAGGGAACACTGACTGTAGCAGTAGCATATAGCAGTGATTTCTACAAGTCTCTTGTAAAATGTTCCCTGTCTCTGTGCAGCATGACCCTACTCTCTGACAATCTCCCGTAGCATGCCTTCAGACTCTGACCATCTATTGTAGTATGTCCAGTCTCTGACCATGTTCTGTGGACAGTCTCCTGCAGCATGTCCCCAATCGCAACTGGAACATGTCTACAGTCTTTGACAATCTCCAGCAGCATACCTTCAGGCCCTGACCAACTACTGTAGCCTGTCACTGCAGTTGGTCTCTGATTTATGTTCTGTAGCATTATGTGCCCGTGGAATTTAAACTTGACAATCACACATCCACTGCACAGTTTTACCGCCTGTGTGATCTAGGCCTTACAGCCAAATTATGTTTTTTTTTTTTTAACATTAGTTCTTTGGTTTTATTCCCACTTTCTGTTCAGACATGGCAGCGCTCACAGACCACCTTACAATTCAGTGGTCGCTTTGTCACCCTTGCACGCGTCCAACCACTTGGCTTTGTGCAGGCCGCCATGCTTCTTACACCAAGCCATGGCATCAGTGCCACCCATGACTGAAAGTGTGATGATCTGTTTTTCGTTTTTGGCGCACACAGCCCAGACCCAGTGTGACCGCTCGGAACAACTACATGAAAATAAAATTGAGCATTAAAGTCTATGAACACAGGGGGGTCAGCCATTGTTTTTCATTGTCTTTTTGGGGTATAAAGAAAAGTCTGACTTCTTCTCCCCAGACCCTATATATGCATAGAACATGACGTTGAGGTGAATATTTTGAAGTTTGATGTAATGACCCTTTTCATTTTTTTTTCCCAGTGTCTAGTTTAGGGTCACCTGGAGCCCTCTGTCTGCCGCCATCCCAGGAGTACCCTCCCACGTTCCATAGTCCCCCGCCGCTGCGGCGTGTCGGTCTGCCTATGTCCATGACCTTTAACCCCAGCAGTCACATGGTTCCGCTCATGCTGGATACGCCGGAGAGCGCCTGTACCCCTTCTCCGTCTACTGATGGCGATATGTTCTCATACAATATTCAGGAGTATGTATGTCTATGCATCTCTTTACTAGTACAGAACACTCGGATTACCTTTTACTGATCAGCCCGCAGAAAGCTGAAACCTCATTGGCTCTTTGATCTGCTTTTTTAAAGTGGATCTAAACCCAATCATTAAGGTTTCATTTAAACTAAATGTTCATGCCGTTGCAAAAGTTATTTTCAATGCTTTTAAAATCAAAATAATCCCTGCTGATCCTGCCATGGAGGTCCTTGGTCAATCATCTTCTTTAATTGGGTGACCACGCTCTCCCAGCTGATCTGGAGAGTAGCAGCATGCTAAGGAGGAGAGGGTAGAGTGACAGAAAAATTGGTGCTTCACTAGGCTGCTTCTCCTTTAGCTGTCCAATCACAGGCTTGGACTGGTCTAGGATGACCTGGGCTCAGAGAGAGTGTGTTGAATGATGCTGAGCATCAGACTGAGGACATCTAGTGTCAGAAAAAGTTACTGCAGGGGGGAAATATCTGAATTGAAACTGGTTTTGGTAATGATAATGTTATGGGCTATTCATTTTTATTGAGTTCTGCTGCCTTTCGAGTCCCTGATCCAACTTATGTTCCTTTATTTTGGAAATCTTTGTGCACATGCTAATGAAAACAGATTTACCCCCAAAAAAGAGGTGCTGGTTAAAGTGTATGTCCAGCTAAAACTTTTTTTTTCTTAGTTTTGTATAAAATGGGGAAAGGTTAGAACCTCTGCCTGATTTCTCCTCACTTCCTGTCCTGCTGACAATGTTTTACCAGACAGGAAGTCTGGCTGTATATATCCAACATCAGTACCTGACCTCAACCCTCCCGAAGACCTTTTGGAAGAATTGGAACAGCCCAGTACTTGCCTTCACAAATGCTTTTCTGGTTCAATGGACACACATTCCCACAGACGCGCTCCAAAATCATGTGGAAAGCCCTCCCAGAAAAGTGGAGGTTCTTATAACCTTAAAGGTGCGCCAACCCCATAATAATGCCCCTGGTTTTGGAATTGGGATACCCCCCAAGCTGATAGGTTGATGGTCAGGTGTCCTCAAGCATTTAACCCTAAAATGTATCAATATAGACATAGACAAATATATGACCTAGATTAGGTATTTCATAGATGATAATGTCCTTATCGCTGCTTCTCCCCGCAGATCCCCAATGGCAGAGACGATGGGGGCATCTATGAGATTCGGGCCGCACTACTATCACCAGAACAACCAGTTGGGACACTACCAGATGCTCCAGTATACCCAGTACCAGAGAGTTCCAGTACACAGTCTTACTCCAACCTCTCCAGAGGACGCAGCCTTCCTCGCCGTTCCGGCCAGTAACGCTGGAATGCTAGCCTTTGGCACCTCGGGAACATACCTGCAGGGCAGACCAGGGGGACATATTGTGCTTCAACCAGGCACAGGTATGGTCGGTGGGCTGTAAATGAAATCCTTGCTATGGTATGCATTATGAGATTTGCATTGAGCTTATGTATTGTTAAAGTTACTGCTTTTGGTCCCGCTCTCTCAGCTCTGCTACTAGTTAATCTACAAGCTTGTAGAACGGTGGAGGGAGGAGAGTAGCTTGATTTGCTGTGTTTGAGCTTACTAGCACACACCAGGGTGGCTCCATAGGACCCTGCAAGGGAAAGGAGCCACCCTAAAACAGAATATCGAGGCCAGTGCTCAGGGGATCAGCTGATTCTGCAGGAAACTAAAACGTTTCAACATCAAGAAGCAGCATCCATTGTAAATGATTTCATCAGCATTTGGAATAGTTTAAAACCCTTTTGCTTTAAAATCACTTTGATAGCTAGAATATGCTCTTTCGTGCCCCCTCTGATTTGGTTTCACTTTGCTAAGGGGGCCTGACTTTTCCTGACTTCTTGCCCCTTTATAGAAGTCCAGAATCTAACAGACATGTCCGCAGATATATATTGATCTCCTGGAAATGCACTTAGCACTACTCTAATCAGGAAGCCGGGAGACGGGTCATGACGTGCCGCCTGTCTTCCTGATTGGCTAGGAAGCCAGCTTCACTTGCTGCTAGGCAACCTGGCTTCCTGACCAATCAGGAAGCTGGACGGCACCTCATGATCCGCCGCCCGACTTCCTGATAATCGGGGCACTGGTACTCTGTATCGGCGAGTAAAGGAAAAAAGAATATTGGTACTGGATACTGAAAAAACGGTATTGGTGCATCCTAGTGTAATGAATAGGTAAAGTTTAAAATCTACACTGACTGGCCAGATTATTATGACCACCCCATCAGTACTTCGTTGGGCCGCCTCGTGACTCCACGACATGTTGAAAGGTGATGAGAGGAATCTGATACTGCACTGTTGCCCTTCTGTTGTCTTGTACCAGTCTTGCCCCTCCCCCGTTCTGCCCTAACATTGACTAGTCGCTGACGGCCACAATTCGCACGTTCAGACCCAGATTTTCGGCTGACAGTCCGGTCTTTAAACACTTTAACAATGAGCCCCTCTTGAACATTTAACAAATTCTGCTGTTTTGCTGATACTCGCTCCAAGACTCCGAGCGCCAACAATCATCCCACGTTCAAAGGCTGTTAAATCGCGTTGTTTCCCCGTATCTTCAGAAACAAATCACTTCTACTGTCGTGGTAAACAACCTGCTTCCCTATTTATAATGGTCTGGCCCTCTAGCAACTTCAGCGCCAAATTATAGCTCATTTGCCTACAAACGTCAGGTGGTCATAATAATCCGGCCACTCAGTGTGTGTATATACTGTATACATGAATCTCAAAAGTCAGATTTCTATCATTCCCAGAGAAAGGAACAAACCTCTTCCAATGTGGAATGAAATCGTATACAGTATATAGTTTTGGAGCAAATTGTCAATTAAGTGCAAAATATTATTGTTTCCCCAAAAAATATTTTCCTTTCTGCAGGAAAAAGTTTTTCTTCTATGAAAATATTTTTCTTTCCCCCAGAAAATATTTTCCTTTTTTATCAAAATATTATTCCTCCCTCAGATATAACAATTCTGCATCTTATTCCTTCCTACTGCACAGCTAACATTGCTGGCTGTCAGTGTTTTCCAGTGCAGGCGGAATTCATGGACATGGGGAAAAGGTTTCTTTTGATATGATCTGTGTCTGCTCATCTGTTGCATGGTGATGTGTGCAGAAAAGGGTCTACACCTTCATGGTGAGTGCATCGATCTCCAGTTTGCCTTTAAGGGCGAATGAATGGAGATGCATGCATTTTTTTTATGTGCATGTGGGGACAGAGCCCTTAAAGCTGACTTCTGGGCACAGAAAAAAATTAGGGCTGTGGAAATTAAAGATTAATTTCTCGATTAATCGTTAAACTTTTTGATCGATTAAAATTATTTTGATCGCTAATGAAAACACTCACCTCTCCGCCGGCTTCCGGGAGTCCCGTCGGCGATCCGGTGACGTCACGGACATCGACGTCACCGGACATCAACGTCACCGGACTCCTCCCCCCTTCCCCAAGTGTCTCCGTCGGCTAACGAAGGGAAGGGGGGAGGAGTCCGGTGATGTCGATGTTCGTGACGGCTAACGAAGGGAAGGGGGGAGAAGTCCGGTGACGGCGATGTCTGTGACGTCACCGGACTCCTCCCCCCTTCGTTAGCCGATGGAGCCACTTGAGCCGATGAGTTTGCCCAAGAAACTTTCTGCACGAGCGCCAGCCAAGGCATTGGCCTATACACATACAGCACAGCAATGAAGTAATACAATGAACTAGGATCACAGTAGTCCAGCACGTTATTATTCTGAGTTGCCCCACTCAAGCGGCGGCCATATTGAGTGGGGCACGTGAGAATAATAACGTCCTGGATTAGTGTGATCCTAGTTCATTTTATTACTTCATTGCTGTGCTGTATGTGTATAGGCCAATGCAGTTGGATCTGTATGTGCGTTTATAATTAAGGGTATAAATGCACTTTGTGTGCACCAAATGCCTTTGCAGACCTAGATATTGCCTTGCACTGTGCTGTACATAGAGCTATGGAATGCTGGAAGGCCAGCAGGCCCCACCCACTACAGGCTGCCTGCAGAAAACTACAGGAGGGGGCGGAGACCAGACCAATCACTTTGCATAAGGAGAGCAGCAGTGAGCAGTCTTTATTACAGGAGGGGGCGGAGACGAGACCAGTCACCCTGCACAAGGAGAGAGAGCAGCAGTGAGCAGTTTTTTACAGGAGGGGGCAGAGACTAGACCACTGTGAAAGATGTCACCAGCACTGGTGACATCTTTCACATTTATCTTATGCATACAGCCATCCTCAGTCATTACGAGCACCCTTCCCATTACATGGGATCTCCGGTAAGGAGTGCGGCAAGAACCTTTCTACTTATCGGGAGACAAGACCAGTCAACCTGCATAAGAAGAGAGGGCAGCAGTGACTGGTCTTCCCTACAGGAGGGGGCGGAGACTAGACCAGTCACCCTGCACAAGGAGAGAGAGAGCAACAGTGACCGGTCTTTACTACAGAAGGGGGCGGAGACTAGACCAGTCGCCCTGCACAAGGAGAGAGAGCAGCAGTGGCCGGTCTTTATTACAGGAAGGGGCGGAGACTAGACCAGTCACCCTGCACAAGTAAAGAGAGCAGCAGTGAGCGGTCCTTATTACAGGAGGAGGCGGAGACGAGACTAGTCACCCTGCACAAGGAGAGAGAGCAGCAGTGACCGGTCTTTATTACAGGAAGCTCCAAATCTCACACTGGATTAGTGCACAGGTCTGGAAGAAATACAGAAAGATCACCAAGACTCAAGGAAGAATACATTTGGCTCTTGTGATGTGTGCTTGCTTGTACCTTAACTTGACCTTGAGCAATAAAAGTGAATTTTTTTTTTATTGCCCGTTGTCAGAACATACACATATCAACCATTTATTTTAAACTTCTTCGTCTCTTTACATTTCCGCAGGTGGTCCGGCCTATCATTCTTCCCCATGGAACGACATGTACGTACAAGGCGCTCCCTTCCAGTACTCTCGCCCGCAAGTGGGGGGAACACGTGGTATTTCTGAGCAGCCCCACTGCCAACAGCCTGCATTGCGCATATCAGATCACCATCAGGAGCCGACACCACCCACCCAGCCCACCGCCAGTGAAACGACGCAGAGCCCTGTCCGTGAGTTACAATCTCGTGTTCTAAAGAGAACTGGTTTTAAAAAGTGATGTCACGATTCCTTCTAGCGTCCAACACTGGGGACTGCAATGGCAGAAGGAACAGTAGGGGGGTATCAGTAGGTTGGGGGGGGGGGCTTTGCACAGACATTGTCACCTTTGCCCCTAATGTCAAGATGACAGTGTCTCTTTAAAGGATATCTACCTTTTAAGCTTATTAGGCCTTTTGTATAGAGTTGGCATTGTGCAGGTAGGTTCAAGATGAAACATGTTCCTAAAGTTCATTAAAATTGGCAAAACAAGTCCTATGCCCGGCATGTGGCCACGGCAGATACAACTATGTTGGTTAGAACTTCTATTGGAGTGAGTGCTAGTGCTATGTCGAGTTCAGAACAGAATGGTGTACCCATCAATATCAGGTTGCACCCACCCCACCTCAGAACGTGTTAGCTGCAATATATTACATTTTTGTTCTTGTCTTTGCTTTGAGAGAGCGCACAACTGAAGCTGTTTGCCTTCAGACTCTCTCTTTCTGATAGGAACTCCATACACCCTGTCTGAACAGCACAGGCAGGGAATAAGTCTCTCCCGTGCCTCCTGTAAGTAAATTTGGGGTCTCAGCTGCCGTTGTGATGTGCGGGGTCCCTTGTGCGTCCCGGTGCCTTAAGGAGGTTGGGCTTCCTCCTGACAAACCTGCACCCAATTTTATCTTTTGCCACATGTGCTCCAAGATGGAGACTCTCATAGTTTAGAGGTAGAACCGCACTATATAGAGGTGCCTTGGCGCAGCAGTGCGGCTTTCACATTTTCTGCAGAAGACGTGTATCTAAACCTCTGTTTTTAACCTCAGCGGTGAGACAAGTTTTTTTGCATGCTGTTTGCCTTCAGACTCTCTCTTTCTGATAGGAACTCCATACACCCTGTCCGAACAGCACAGGCAGGGAATAAGTCTCTTCCGTGCCTCCTGTAAGTAAATTTGGACTTGAGCTATTGAGCTTTGTAAATAGCTAAGCAGAAAAAGCAGACAATAACCTGCTTGCTATAAAGTATATATCACAAACCGTAATAATATTCTCTTCCAATAGACGCCTTTTTTTAAAATTAAATAGAAGTTTATTTTTATATTGCATTTAATCACAGTAGAAATCAAGGGATTATAATGTATCTTATGGACATTTCTTTCTTTAGCTGACCCAAAGGATGTCACAAGCGACATTTAACTTCGGACCGGAACAAAGGGTTTCCTTCAGACACGGAGAGTTGACCACAGCAGCAGGCTGGGGGGAAAAAAAGGCGGTAGTCTATAATCAAGACGGATCAAGAGATAATATATGTTTTTTGTTGTTTGTTTAGACTTTTGTGTTTGCCTTGTGGGAAGTGAGTTATGCTGGAGATAACATAAGGGCAAATATACCATTTTCATGCACGATAGTTCAATAAAGTCACAACTTGTTTGGCTAGTAAAAGATCATTTTGTTTTTGTCATTTTTTGTTTTTATGTGCCGTTTTTGTTTTCTTTTAAGAAAAGTGTCGCCTTGAAAGCTACACAAGCTTTTGTCCCCCCAAAAAGATAATTCCTTTAATTTTTCCTTTCATGACTTAAAGCAGACCTTCCATGGAAAATGTTTCTAGGATACACAGGTGATATCGATGTGCCTCCCAATTTATAGTAGAAGATGTAAGCATGTTGTGCGGCCACCTGAAAGCAATTCTGTTCCGATGTAAAGGTGCCCATACACCTTACGATTGTCGTAAGATAAGTCGATCGCATACGATTATCATACGATAATCGTAAGGTGCATGGGCACAGTGACGGTGCAGTTGTCACAGGCACCTTTAGCCTTACATCCTTGGCAGCAAAAGAGTTGAAGGAGAACTATGGGGTTAAGGCTTTTCCCCATAGTTCTCCTTAGGGTAACGGGAGGACACAAACTAGCGTCCTCCCGTCACCCTAGGCTCAGTATACCGCGAGCTGTAGCTCGCGGTATACTGAGACGCCGCAGTATACCGCAAGCTGCTGCTCGCGGTATACTAAGACGCCGCAGCTGAAGCGGATCCCGACAATTATGTCTGGATCCGCCCAGCTGCGTGACTGACAGCTGGCTCTGCCTATCTAGAGGCAGAGCCAGCTGAACCCGCCCCCTCCCACGTCCGTTCCGCCAGTCGGCGGAGCAGGGAGGGGGAAATTCAGCCCCTCCCCTGTCAGGGCAGAGAGCCGTGACAGGATCGAGAGGTGAGCGAACGCCGGTATGTGTTTGCTCACTTCCCGATCTACTGAGCCGACCTGTGACAGTTTCATTGTCACAGGTCGGCTAGAACTATGAGGTGAGTGAAAAGCACTCACCTCATAGTTCTCCTTTTAATGCAAATTTGGGGTTTTCATGAGCACAGGTAAATTTCACGAGGGTCAGAACTCGTTACTAAAACCGGTAAATTATTCTCCCAGCCAGGGCCGGATTAACATAGGGTCTATTGGAGAGCACACTCAAGGTCTGCTACTAAAAATAGGCCCAACTTGCCCGGATTGCCTCAGTATGCATGGTTGCAATCCGGGCCGGCCAGGCTGAATACAATTAGGCAGAGGCGCCGGCGGCTCATTGACCAGCCTGATTTTCTCATTTGAGATCCAGGAAATATCTATAGATTATAGATGTATATACACTGGAGGGAATTTATCAAAGCACTTGCGACAGTTTTAGCCTCTTAGATGATTTTTTTTTGTATGTGCAAACCCGGGGGGGGATTTATCAAAGCAATTGCGAGTGTTTAAACTTGCACGGAATATATTTGCACCAGATTTATCAAGCTAGTGTAATGTTGTTGTTTAAATGAGGTTTAATAGACTCAAAGAAAGAAGACTTCTTACTTCAGGCAAAAAGCTTAACTGTCGCATCTTGAAGAAGTGGTCATGGGGACTTCTTAAGCTGTGAGTGTTTTCTTAGGTGATGCTCCAGTTTCAGACAGCCCCACAACAAGTGCAGATAAAAACATGTACAAAAAAAGGTGCAAAAAACATGCAGTTGAAAAAGAAGTGCAAGCTCTGAAGAAAACAGGGGGCACATGTTAAAAGACAGATTTGCACATAAAAAAAATTATCTAAGAGGCTAAAACTGTCGCAAGTGCTTTGATAAATTCCCCCCAGTGTTGCCAAATGTATTGGGACCCCCTCCAAATCATTGGATTCAGGTGTTCCAATCACCTCCATGGCCACATGGAGGTGATTGAGTAAACCTTTCCCTGCTCTGTTTTTTTGTTGTTTGTTGTTTCTGACATTGGAGCCGCTGGACAGTCAGAAAAAAAACAAAAACCCAGCATAGGAATGCATAGCTAGATTCCTAGTGGCTATTTCACTTTGCAATAGCAAACTAGCTATTGCACCCCCGCCCACTGCTGCTGTCAATCAGCAGAGGGGGACCTGAAGTTCTCCATCAGGTCCTCTTCTAGTGATTGACAGCAGCAGAGGGCAGGTGCAATAGCCAGCTTGCTATTGGATATTGCAAATTGAAATAGCCAATAGGAATCTAGCTACGCATTCCTATGCTGTTTTTATTCTGACGGCAGCAGCTGCCAGGATACTAAAAAAGAAAAACCTGCAGATAGCACGGAAGCAATAGGTTCTTTGCTATCTGCCATTCGCAGGGGGGGCAGAGGGGACCTCCCTGAAATTGCTTTTTTCAGGTTGGGATCCCTGCAATGCCTTCCATAGAGCATCCTCCGTACCACTGCCTGCTGTATGGAAAGCATTGTTTATATGGATATGGTTTCAGCTGCCGTAAAATATGATATAAACTTCTTGTTTTGTACAATAACACTATATGGAGTTCAGGGCTCCTGTATATTAGAAGTGGGGGGTAGCTATAGGGGGTAATATTGACAGAGGACGTGCTCTATATGGATTATATATATATATATTTATTTAGATATTGGAGAGAGGAAGCAGCTATGTAGGCCGGTTGCCCATGGTTACCAGTGAGGGAGTGAATGTGTAGAGGCCTGTAGTGGGGTATCCATAGTGATTTTGTTTTTTCAAGTGTTTACTGTTTTTATCTTTGTTCTTTTTTTAATAATAACATGTCATTTTAATATTTCTGGAGGAGAAGTGCTTTTGTTTTGTACATTATATGATGTGTGTAGAGATCCGGAGATAGTGTGTGAAGGAGTCTGCAGGAGGCAGCAGAGAGCCTGGCGGAAAGGTCTGTGTTACCATGACAACAGCAGTGGTGAGAGCGAGGCCTGGAGGACGGAAGGGCCTGCAGCAAGACAGGCGGCGGCAGTGCGTGTGCCAGCGCACAGCGGATCAGTGTGAGGATGGAGGCGGCTGGGAATAGAGGTAGGCCGGAGATTTCATAGCATGGTACACTCCATCAGAATAAGATGGCTCTGAGGGAGCAGAGTGCGTATCATCGGACGACCTGTACTGACATAGCTGACACACCACCAGCTCTACACAGGACTGTATAAGGGGCTGGTTTATAAAGGGTTTGCACAGCGTATAGCTGGATGAACGCCATTCACAGGGTATTACTGCCATTAGATGGCGCCGAGGAGCTCAGGAATTTCCAGCTATACGCTGGGCTAACACTTTATAAACCGACCCCGAAGTGTCATTAGGAGGATTCTATGGATCCCCATAAGTGGACTCTGTACTAGATGTGGGGAACAAATGCTGAGTGTTTTCGGTGACTGGACTGTTTATATTTTACACAATGTTTGTTATTGTTGTTTGTAAGCGCTTATATACTAGACATGTTTGTTTTGTTTCGTTCTGAAATGGAATTTGGAAGAATTTCTTTAAATTCGGGCACTCGGATGCATCCGAATGCCAACAATAACCAATTCCTATTTGTCCAAATTTTTTGATAGCAAAAATTCGTATGCG